CCAGCAGATGGAGCGTTTATCTGTAGTGTCATAGCTCACCCCACACACACTCCCAACAAGCTCTTGCAGTCAGGAAAAATCTGTGTTGAGTATTCGTGGGGTAGGGGAGGGGAACTGGATGAGGTAGGAGTCTCTGACCTTTAATGAAGACCTGAATTTGTTTTGTGTTTATTTGTTTCCCCCTTTTCTCTTGCAGCAACAACTACGTATGCGGATCAAGTTGACATATAATCACAAGGGCTCAGCAATGCAGGATCTAGCAGAAGTGAACAACTTCCCCCCTCAGTCTTGGCAATGAGGCTCTGGCACCATTCTTATTTCATCCCACCCAATCAAAAGAACTCTGGGAAGAAGGTTGTGATCCTTGGCAATCCCCCAAACTGCACCATGGGCATGGGGAACGAAAGAGACCTGCTGATGAGGAGGAATTTTCCTGAAGTGATTGCTGACTCTGAAGCATATCTGTTAAGATTAATCTCCTCTCCTCTGCTGATGAGGCTGGTGGCTTGTGGAGGCTACTGTGCACTCCCTCACACATGCATTCACAGCCAGAAGCAACATTCCCTTCTCCCCTTCCCCACCGTCCTTCCCCCTCAAAAAGGAACATAGCCTGGTTGGAAGAGAAGTCTGGAATTTCTAGCAGGGAAACTTTCTTCTCTCTGCAGCAAGTGAGCAGTTGCTCCTTCTTTCTGCTGTCTTTTTTTCCCGGGGGTGGGTAAGGTGTGTTGTCATTCATTTCTAGCTGGATTCCTTCAGGCATTTTCATCTGGGACTCAGATGAGGTCTTGGGGAATGCCAGGCTGCCCTTCGTCTTTCTTCTTGTATCCCCTAGGTCTTAAGGGGCTGGAGGCTTCTTATGACCTACTCAGTGCATTATTGTGTACACGCACTTCTTAGTTATGTGCTGCATACCAAGAGCAAGTGAGGCCTTTGGAGTTCATCTGCAAACCTGGAACACAGTGCAGGAGAAGAGGTGCTGGTAAGAGTTGGTAAAATTGCTTCGGTGCTGTACTTGGAAATGAAGCCCTTACACCTGAATTTTCTTTCCTTCCATCAGTAGGCACAGCCATGCAGATTCAGAGTCTTCTGTAGCTTCCCCAGACAGTGAAGTGAGTTATGAGAGATGTAGAGATAAAAGGAGCAGCTGGTTTTCTACCACATACGGTTTCAAAGTCTTTCAACCTGTTAGTTGTGGTTTATGGGTAGAAAAGACACATTCAATTTTGTAGATCAGTTTTTGGGCAAGGGCTTTGCTCCTGCTGGGAGACTCATCTGAGACTATGCTGCAAAGTTGCTCTTCCTGGTTATTCCAGAACTTCTCCCCAATTTTATTTCCAGAGCCTGTTGTAGACCCCCTGGGTTCCATTTGAGTTACTTCTGACTGGGATATTTGTGTTGTATCTGTAATATTGGCACTGAAATAAAGACCATGCAGTTTAAAGAGATCTTTTCCCATTTTTTTACTCAGTTGATCCTTGTTCCCCTTTCAGAATTAATGTGCCAGTTCACATTCAGACTGAAAGTAACTAAACTGTGTTTTGAACACAAGCCAGTTGTTTGAGTATTTGGATCCAAAGATGCAAGGTCTGGTTGGTACCCCTCTGAGCTCACAGAAAGCTGTGTTCAGGGATGTCCCTGCAAGAACTCCTGGGAGGTGGTGCAGTTCTGGGCAGTCTCTAGGAGGTGATGTGTAAGACAGACAAAAGCACAGTGTGACAAACTCCAGATGTTCAGTGCTCTTTAGGATGTATCTTATGACATCTCTTAGGTCTTAATTTTTGAGTGTGCTGGTAAGCTGAAGGTTGGGCACTTCTGCTTCAGTTCTGTTCTAGGGCTTTGCAAATCCTTGAGTGCTCTGAGTGCAAGCTTAGACAGCTTCTTGTGTCCACAGAAGGGCTAATACTGGCCTCCAGTACTTGCCAAAAATACTGCAAGAGTGATCCACAGTGTACTTAGGGAAAACTGAATACTTGTTCTGCCCTTGAATTAGGAGCAGGAGGGCACTGAGGGTTGTTCAGTCTGGTCTGGTCCTGACTTCATTAAGCAATATAATGTAGGACTGACACTAATTTAAGTGGTGGTCCATGGTAGTGGAGTAAATTTATCTTCTCTTGAAGGGTATTTTTGCTACCTTACTGATTGAACTGGTTTGGGCCTTCGGATTAGCAAAGAGCTTTTTTTTTTTTTGGTACTGGCATCAGTGTAGGGTTATAAAATCTAGAAGAACAATGTATGATTTCCTTAAAATTAATTTTGGGTTGTGGTAGCGTCATGCCTTGGCTATCAGTGGAGAGATATATCCTATGCTTAGCTGAAAGCGTCAGGAAACAGGCAGTTTTGCAGGAAATGGCTGAATCAGGGTCCATTTCTGGTGCTGAGCATTTAGCTTAATCGTTTTCACTGCAGTTGTGGTTATTCATTGCCCCACTATCTCAAACTCAGTGTTGAAAACTGAGCATGTTAGATCCATACCCCAGTGAGCTCTGAGAGCATCCCAGATAAAAAGCTAATGGGAAGTCTTTGTCTTGGTTCTTGAACTCCTCATAAGCTCTACCATTCTCTTCACAGAGTTGTACATGATCACTCGTACTGAAAGCCAGCATGCCTCGCTCTCCCTTTGGTTTTGCTGGGAAAGAGCACTGGTACAGGAAATTAGATGGGAAGGAAGAAGAAAATGGTCTCTCGCCTGGCCAGTTTGTTGCAGCAGAGTTGGGAACAGTGTATGTTGTCCCTCTTGTCATGCTTGTTTTCTGTCCCCTAGAGCAGCTGTCCGTCTCTGGTAAGCTTGCGGGGTGAATTCTTTCTGTGTTCTTGGCTCCTTCAGCCACCCTTGCACTGTGTCTGTGGGGAAATGGGCATTTCGTCCTGTATTTGAGTTGAGCTGGAGGAGGCAATGCGTGTACCCAAAATACGTTTTGCAGGAAGCCATCCCTTGGCTGTGAAGTACTCCTTTGTAGCAGCCAAACATTCCAGTTGTCCTTGGGGCTCTCCCCTCCTCACTAAGGGATGGATGCTGACATTACACAAGAAGGAAGGCCAGGCTTCACATCTTCCCCTATCTGCAACACCAGATAATGCTGCTTGCTCCTTGACCCCCCTGTGCATTTCGAGCTCTGTGCTGCTGCTGTGGTTTTCCTCTGGAGAGCACTCGCACGTCTGAGGCACTCCAAGCATATGCTGAGTCCTCTTCCCACTGGTTGAAATGCAACAATTCTTACAGGTCTGGTCAGCGTTTTCCTTGCTTCAGTGTAAGGGGGATATAAAGGCACCAAGTTACGGACTTCATGGCTAATCTTACTAGTATCTGCATGGGAGGCTTTGGAACTGGGAGACACTGGATGTCTGTTTTTTCAAGTGAATGTATTTTGAGTCAAAAAATGACAAACAATAGTGGCCATAATGGGCCTGAAGGGGGAGGAGACATGGAAAGGTCCTAAAAGTCGACTTTGTCCAGGTCTTGATGGCACAAAATATGGCCTTGAACAACTTACTGAAGCAATAGCAGTGAGGGGACTGTCTTTACAGTACCTTGGATCTATAATTCAGAAGATACTGAAGCAGCTGGGAAAGGTACCAGTGCCTTGCCTAAGGCTGGTACTAGCTGTGAGCCGCAGCAGCACTGACGCTGGTGCACTTTTATGTGTTCATTTTCTACTTGGAGGCTGTGAGGGAAGGAGCTGCTGGACTGCTTCCCTTTTAACTTTCACTCTACTCCTGTATATTCCTTTTTCTTTCGTGATGTTGTAATTTAAATTTTACAGAGAGCCCCATCCCACCTCTTAGACAGTACAGATTAAAAAAAGGCAAACAAAAAGCAATCCCCAAAAAACCCACCAAATTTAAAGTGAAAAACGTGCCATTTGAGGCAGGGCACCTGTTGGCACTCAAAATTCTGGAGACCTATTTTTGAGATGTGAAAAATTTAGGTAAATGCTGAGTAATAGGTGAGTGAGGAGCTTAACAGATGTAAACATTTACATGGGATGCATTAGACTTCTGCTGTGTGTATTGTCTTTTGGTTGAAACAAATTATGAAGTGACTAATAAAATGAGTCAATATTCAATGATTTAAAATTGCCTTGTTGCTTTCTACCAATACAGTGGGATAGAATGTTTTGGTTCTTAATGTTTGGCCATTGCAATGTCAGATGATGCAAAATAGTGAGGCCATGTTTTGAAAAAAACATTACGGGAAATTTTGGAGACCAAGATGAGTGGACAGTTGCAAAACGCTGGAGCACTTCCTGTGGAATACCATGCTGAGAAGAGAGCATGTTAGTTACGAGCAGCAGTGCTTGTTCAGATGCTAGAAAGGTGTGGTGGGATCTGAACACAAGGAATGTGTTTGGAGCCTGCTCTGGGAGCTCGGTAAAAGACCCCTTTCATACTCCATGTGGCACTTGGACAAGGATTGTCACCATATCTCTGTCCCCACGTGTGCCTGCTTTGTGTTTTCTAGTCACAGTCACGTTTCCCTATATGACCTTTCATGTCTTTTCAAACGCGCAATTTCACTGTGGGGAAGGTAGCTTTTTTTAAATGTTCTTGATCCTGTTCAGGCAGAAGCAGCGGCTGTCCTAAAACATACTCAAATTCTTGCAAACTGTGTCATGATGATGTCATTGGTAGACGGTGACGTCACTAGTAGTTATTGACGTTATTAGCAGCAGCCACTAGTTGAGACTGGCAGAGCTCAGGTGCTGTACCTGCAGGGCAGCAGGAGCACGGTGCTGTTCGGCTGTTGAGCAGCGTGCCTCCGGCTGCGGGGCTGCTGTGACCGGCTGGAGCTATGTGCGTTTGCAGCGTTCACGTCAGGTTTGCCTTCTCCCCGCCCGCGGGCGGGCGGCTGGCACTCGGCAGCCCTCGCTGGTGGAAGGCACGGACGCAGGCAGGCACGGAGCTCGCGGGCCCGGCCTGGGGCGGCTCGGGGCCGCGCCGCCTGCCGCTCCCGCCGCCGGGCGGGGCCTGG